TATTTCCTAGGCTGTAATCTTTTTTTTAAATGTGTGGTACTGTCAAATTGGATCGAACTGGCAAAAGAGGAGATTGCCCCTCCTTTTCCAGGGGAACATCTAGTGGATTTGAACCACGCACCTTTGAGATTACCGTGCAGCTTCTTGCCATTAGGCCATCAGAGCTCCCTTTCTAGGTTGTAATCTTTAAGAGGCAAATCACTCAGCTTTTCTCTTTTGAACTGAGTGTTCCAATCTGTCCACTCTTCTGTTAGCTACTAAACACCTATTATGCCACATTATACTTAGGGCAAGGCTGAGGGTGAAGAAACTGGGGTCCTTTGAGGGATAAGTCTAAGGTAAAGGTGGGGAGATGCTTGGAATGAGAAAGGGAGTGGAGAGACCACTGAATACTGAGGAGTGGGGCCGGATTAATGGTGGTCAGGACTAGGGAGAGAATCTAGAACTAGACAGGATGGTGGCAGGAACCTGGAAGGAAAAGTTAGGGATAGGAGTAGCTTCTGGGAAACTCAAGAAGAACTAAATGGAAGAGGGAAACTCTGGAGGCTGGGATTGTGTCAGAAAATCTCGGTAAAGTGTTAAAGGAACACAGCTGTCAACACCCAGGTGGGGAAAACTGGCAGCCCGAAAACCCCCATCAATCTAGCTGAGGTCCCTGATGCTTGTTGGAGGAAGGCTCTCAGTACAACCCTAGAGTGGAATCTGACCTGGGCCACTGAGGTTGCATTTGAGCTGGAGTCCCTCCCCCATCCCAAGCTTTCTGAGCTCTAAGGTGTCAGGTTAGGGGTGGTCTTTGGGGCACCCGGGGTACTCACCACTGAGAGTACTCACAGTGCCCCCCACCTCCGCCCCGCAGTTGAAGATCTGAGTGGCAAGCTGAAGCCGTATAAGCAGAAGGACTGGCGCCATGCGCCCCGCTTCCTGACTCCTCTCAAGCCGCACACAGTGCTGCGCGGCCAGGACTGCACCATGACCTGCGCCTTCCTAGGGAACCCGCGGCCCACAGTGACCCTCTACAAGGGTGATGTCAACATCACTGCCAACTCCAAGTTCTGGTACAACTCCACAAGCGGTGTCTGCACTCTCGTCATCCCCACCTGCACGCTCAAGGACAGCGGTGACTACAGCGTGCTGGTGGAGAACGAACTGGGCAAGGACCGCAGCAGCTGCACGCTCACTGTCTATGGTGAGGGCGCCCCCGGGGCTGGGGTTGGGGAGGGAAAGGGGGGGCTCTCTCTTGGGTTGATGATAAACTCATTTGACTAGCAGCTTTTTAAAAATCAGTCTGCCAAGAAGCGAGGCAAACATTTACCACAGTTCCAGCCACAATCTCTTCCCATCCTTTCTATGCCATTTTCTGCCCGGGGTGGGGGTGGGGTGGATTTTGTGATCTCTCTGTAAGCTGAATTTGACTAAGATGGGCCTAACTGGTTAAATACCTTTAAGTTACTCTAACGACGTCATATGACAAAATAGAACTGCCCCAATAGTTTTCTAGACAATAATCTTAATGGGAGCAGGTGACCAAATTTTTCTCCTGGACAAGTAGGTGGGTTTGAACCCCCAACCTTTCCCTTAGCAGCTGAGTTCTTAAGCTTTGCGCCACTAGGGCTCCTCAATCTGTTTTTTAAAAGATAACGGATGACCAGCCAGTACCTATCTGTAAGAATAAATCTCCTAAGAGATAAGAGGTTCAGCTGTGCAGCCAAGATTGAAAGAATAAGGGCAGATGGGAGGCAGGAACCTAGGAGGAGGCACTCGCACTCCCTCTGCACTGCCCGTGAGTGTATACCTAGGGACTTTATTCCTTTCCAAAGAGTCTATTCTCTTCCTATCCAGTAGCACAAACTTGCTAAATGCAGAGCTAGCGGCGCCTCGCTTAAGCTCTCCCCTAGCTTTCTCATATCTTCAGGGTAATATCCCAGCCTGCAAAGCTCTCCAGACCTCCAGTCAGTCCTCTGGCATCACCAGCCCCACCTAGCAGCATGCACACTGCACCACTCCCTGCACTCTAGTGGCACTCCCATTAGCTGTGGTCTCCATGGTTACAGACCATGGTTCATCCTGTTACAGATGTCTTTCCTTGGGATAAGTACCATGTCCTACTGTTTTCCCTCCAGCACTAGCTAAGCGTCCGGCCCCGAGTTGGTGGTGCTGCCAGAGTGGCAGTTAAATTGTGTTAACAGAACTAGGCCAGGAAGAAGTATGAGAAATTACACAGCTTTCATTTCATCGATTGGCAAAGGATTTCCTGCCTCAAGGGTTTTGGCCCTAGTCAGTCAACTGTGTGACGCTGGGCAAGTCACTTCTCTGAGTCCATTTCCTCATCTACTTCATAGGGTTGCTGTGAGGCTTAAATGAGATAGTGTGTGGAAGTGCCTGGCATGACACTTGACAATCAATTGCAGCGCCTGATCCCATACACTTAGCTGACCTTGAACAGGAGCTCACTGGCTTGGGGGACTCAGGGTCCAGCTCCTTGTTCCTGCATAATAACTCAAAGTGCAAGAATGTAGACATTCCATCCTCCCAACATCATCGTTACTACGGGCGGGGGGTAGGGCTCAGATGCATACTGACCCCACATGACAGAGTGAAACTGCCCCACAGGGTGTTCTGGGCTGTAATCTTTGCTGAAGCAGATTGTCAGCCTTTCAGTTAGCAGCTGGCTACTTAAGCTTTTGGACCTCCGAGGCTCCTTCCAGCACTGACACTAACAAATACTTGCTTTGATCTTTCAGATAAAGATGACAAGTCAATTCTAGCGTCAGTCACTGAGAGCCTGCAGAAGAAATCAAAGCACCTTATGTGAGCCCCACCCCAAGCATCAGGAGTGTGTGATGTGGGCTTTGGGACCCACCCTCTGCGTGGTCCCAGGTTGAGAATCCAGTTCACTCTGGAGCTTTTCAGTGTAAACATTTGATGAAGGAATGAGTCAGTAAACTCACTGTTTACCCTTGCCTGTTCCTGAGCATGGTGTACTCCAAGGACCAGGGGGATGAACCTGGCCATGGGACAGGAATACTGGTTCAAGTCCACCCACATGGGGAGGGACCAGCCTCCTCTGATTGGGTTTCTACTTGCAAACCCTTCCTCTTCGAAAACACTGTACCACCCACCAGGATAAGTCTCTTCATCCTCTTCCCAATCCTGTTCCCTCTCATGTCTTCATAGAGGTCTGGGGCTTGAGGGGATCAGAACCTGACCTCTTCAGTGTGCAGGATTCCCTACATTAGAGCATCTCAGAGCTTGAAGGGATTGGTCATCCAGTTCACTGTTTGAACTGTTCCTTTGCAGCAGGATCCTCCATTTTAGAAAAAAAAAGTCTTAAGAAGCTTCTGGACCAGAAACAAAGACAGAGGGTCTCTAAGCCCCCTCTGCTCCTTAACACACCCTCCACCAGGGAGCTCTGTAAAAACCTTCATTTGAAAATCACTGATTTATCCAAGTCCCACCTAAAACTGTGCAACACCTCCACTAACAGGACACTCACTGCTCCTCGAGGCTTCCCTTTCCACTTCTATCTCCCCAGAGTGATGACACATTGTTCAGCAACATCTTCACATCTAAAGTATGAATCAGTCAGTCTGCTCCTATTCCTCCCAGCAGCTCAGCTGAGTCTAAGAGCCAAGAAGAAAGAAACTACTTGAAGGGGATCTGGCTCATTCTGGAACAGGCAGTAAGTCCTTTTGGGCAGGGAAGAGGGAGTACAGACCACACTGGAGACCACTGGACAAATAGGGCTCAGCAAGTGTGCTGGGCATCTGTCATCACCAAAGTGCATCAGGATAAATTAGGACAGTGGCAAATACTGTTAAGTTCCCATCCTCTTGAACCACATCCTCACCAATGCACATGACTAGGGAAGTGAAACTCACTCCAAACAGCAGTGTCACCAGCGCCAGGGAGCCAGACCGGCGCCAAGACGCACTGGCGAGGACTGTGACCCAGGCAGTGGGGACAGCCAAGGCCCAAGGCATCACACTACCACCCGCTCCAGGGTGGCCATGTGCCATCCAGGCAGGCAAGCAGGAGAGCTATGCCCCCTCTTTTTTCTCTTTTCCACCTGGGCCGTAGAGGATGACGCTGCCCCACTCTTGCTTCCCTTGCATTGAATGTGCCTCGGATCTCAGTCATTAAAGCCCCCTTCTGTTGCCCTCAGTGAGGGAAAAATTTTGACGGGGGCAATTCCGATAGTAAAGCTCAGCACCCCTTCAGACAGCAGGACAGAGACGGAAGACAGACGAATACAGGCTTCGACAAAAAAACGCACAAAACAACACACACAAAGGCTGGCCCCTTCCTTTGGCATGGTCCACCCTAACCCCAAAGATGGGGTCTGAGGGTCGTGGTATGAGGCCTGAGTTCTGGGCTGGCCTTTAAGAGCAGTGGTACCAACTTGAATCCTTGGTACTCCAAGTTTCCAAGCCAGGAGGTCTCCTTTCTTGCTGACCTTAACTAGATACCCCCTTTACTTTCCAACCCAACATTTAAAGATTCAGAATAGATGAGAGAGAAAAAGACCCTATCCTCATTCAATCTTCCCAATTAGGGACCTGAGGGAAGAGCTTCAAGCCTGGGCCTGCATCATCTCAGCACAGGTTTCTCCCGTCCCCCGACTCTGTGCAGATCAGAGTGGGAGAGGGTGAGCCCAACCGGTCCTGGACAGAAGAGAAGGAGTCAGAGCCCCTCCCCCTAACTGGAGTGAGGGAGGTTAAGAAGTTGAGCACCACCACTCTTCAGGGAGGCTTTGACAGTCCAGCAAGGGGCACTAGGCTGATTCTTTTTAGCTCTCGGCATCATCCTGGGACACTAGCTCTGCTGGGAGATCCTATTCTTACTCATTCCCTTAAACTTGTTAATCTGCCAAATGGTACCTCCTGCCCCAGACTGGCACTGCAGCCATCCTGACCTAGCTTCTGCAGGCTCCCAGGTCCTGAATGCCAGTCCTAGGAGGAGAAAGGGGGGGAACCACACCCTGGCTCCTCTCCTCAGTTCTTCTAGATCTGTCCATAATTCTCCGCAGGCTCCCGGCTCTCAACGGCAGACAGGGCAATGAGCATCTGAGCAGCATAGTAGGTAGACATGATGAGTACTCGGGAATAGGGCACAGGGAAGCGGAACTTGTCCAGGGCGATGACCAAGTCTGAGATCATAAACAGCAATGCTCCACTGCCACCTGCAAGTTCAGTCCAGCGCCAGGCTGCCCCGACCAGGCGCAGCCCTGCAATAGCTCGCCAGCCCATGAAGCCGATAAGGGCTACGTAGACTCCCACCAGGTAGGTGAAGGCACCTGAAAGGCCTGGATAGAGGATGGCATAGCACAGGCCTGAGAGTACTGCCATCATCAGTCCTGTCCGCAGGGCCAGTGGCCTCATGCCAAAGGCCGAGGCGTAGAGTATGTGGGTCACAGCAAACATCAGCAGACCTGGGAACGAGAAGGGATGCTGAGGGCTGGCATAAGTGAGCAAACAGGGTATGGATGATGTTTACATTAATGTAGGAGCTTTGTGGGGAGTAACAGATTAGGATGAGACCCACAAAAGTTAAGGCAGTTCCCCTACCATTACCTGCAGAACTTCAGAGCTGATCACACCAATGGTCATCCCTCAGCAGAGGCCCCCAAAGTCTCTAACCTCAAGAATCTTCCAATTCCCCATCTTTTGATTCAGAAGCTCCCTCCACCAAAACCTTGGGCATTGCCCTCCCCCAAGGACCCTCTAGCTCCAGGACTGCTTTCAGGCAAATACTGACCGTGCACAAAGTAGCCATGATCCTGCCAGATCAGGAAGGCATCACCAAGAGCAGAGAAGACGAGCCCCACAAAGATTCGGGTGGCACTGGGGCGAGCCAGCAAGAATCCCAGTCCATGAGCCAGGAGGAAGAGCCAGAGGCAAAAAATGGGCAGGCACTTGATGAGGGCGCTGAACCATGACGGACTGGATGAAGGCAGCCAGAGGACAAAATATATGCAAGTGGCCTTGAAGAAGGGTACCAGCTTGGGTCCCTCACTCTTCACCTAAAGGACACAGAACAGTCAATGCTCAGGGCTGGAGAGCTTCCATGGAGGAGGATGCTCAAAGCCAGCACCCTCAACCCAGGCACCTACCTCAAGATAAACCCGTCCACAAACAAGGAAGTATACTATAGAGCATCACACTGTGACCTCCCCGACCAGCCACGAGAGTATGAATTAAGTCAATCCCCACCCTGAGGCTCAATTTCTTAAAAAGGGCTCCACCATTCCTGCTGCTGTGTCCATTCATGACCCAGAGGCTGAATGGTCACTTACTGAGAAGCAGACCTTGGGAAAATGTCCCCTCTTGAAGCCCAATGCTTCTCCCTCTCCTGGGTCCTCCCCACCACTACCACCAGCATCAGCCCCCCAGCTGTCTGGAGTGGAACAGAGTCAGTGGGGAAACGACTTAAGCGCCAAGGCTGGTCAGCTCGTGATCCTTAGCAGTGAAGTGAGGTCACAGGCTTAGGGCCCTGGCAACACCAGGTGAATGCCAGGAATGTGTAAGGATCGGCACTGCCAAGCATCTCTGTCCCCACAGGCTTTCCCCTGATCACCAGTCTACTCTCATCCTCTGGCCCAGTACTGGGGTAGTGGCCTAAAGGTGCCATTAGGGACAAAGACGGGAGAGGGATGCTAGCTAAGAAATGGACCTCATTAATTGGGGTCAAGAAAACTGCTTTCTGAAGTACCTGAGGGACAGCCAGTCTCAATGCCCAGTGTACAGAGCAACTCAAGAGAAGGGGAGAAGTTGCTGTCGCAGTTTTTGCTCTGGAGCCAGCAGACAGGCTGGGAGTAAATGGGGAACTGAGAGGAGGAAGTTAGAGCAGCTGACCAAGGCTCAGCAGATTAGGGATGAGAGCAGTTAAAGGTTGTGCTCAAGGCTACCGCGGATACTCTTCATACTGGGAGAGGGGAGCTGCAGGGCATTCTGAATTTAGAGGACAGAATCTGTGATCCCTGAAGTTTCCTTCTCAGACAACTGGAGTTCCCTCCACACTTAGACTCTGCTTATAGGGATTGTGCTTTTGGCTGGCCGAGCTGTCCTCTGCCAGGCTCTGGGGACACACTCAGACTCACAGACCCCGATCAAACTGGCATGAAGGGGGGCTGAGAAGAGATAGGTGTGTGGGCCTTGCCGTTCCAGGGGTGAGAGAAGGGAGAAGAGATGACCAAGTCTCCATAAAGACTAGCCAGGGACAAAGTATGGGTTGGAGAGCTGGGAGCTGGACAACGGGTGCAGTCCCAAATCTCTAACAGCCACCTGCCAGCCCTTGGGAACATCAAGAAGCATTCCATCCATACATCCACAATGTATATAACTTTGTATGCAAATCAATTTTTAAAAAGCAGCATCAGCAGCACTCCATCTATCCCTCGCCCCACGAGCGCTGTATTTCCTAGAAAGAGAAGCAGTTAGTAGCTGGAGAGACCTTGACTGGCATAGCGATCCTGCCACTGGAACAACAAAGTGCGAAGAGGACACAAAGATTCGACTTGGAAAAAGATAAAAGCGTCAATAGTAAATGTCCCCCCTTACCCCAGCGCGTAACCAAACACTGTGGCTCCGCCTAACCCGGCTTAGACCCAGAGGCGTCCCTTCCCCCGCTCTTCTGACCTGTTTATAAAATGGGGAAGGGGAAGAAACTCATTTGGAACAGACTCCCGGGAGCTCCCAGTCACCCCTGCCCTCGTCTCCTCCCACGCACAGCTGCGGTCCACCGAGTACCCAGTGGTCTTTGCCGCCCCCCTCCCCTCCCCTCCCCTGGGCCGCGACCCCACCAACCCCGCCAGACACTCGGAGATCAACAAAGTCACGCTTCCGAGTCACGTGCCCACTGTTTTCCTCCCTCCAGCGGACGGGCGGGGGGCGAGCGGAGGAGGGGCGCCGCGGGTCCGCGGAGCCTGGGCCGTGACAGCGCGTGACTCCAGCCGGGGGCTGCCCGCCGCCGCCAGCCGCCGCGGGACCCCTCTTCTCCTCGGTCCCCCGGCGGCTCGGCCCACCGCAACCCCCTTCCCATGGCGGGTGGTCTCCGACTATGCTGAACAGCAGCTCTCTCGCTTGCTCACTCACCACAGTGACCGGGGACACCATGGCGGCGGCAGCAGTGGCAGCCGCTTGCACTCAACTCCGGCTTGCAGCAGCCAGGATGCACCCACGGCCAGGTGAGGAGGTGACTACGTAACAAAGCCCGGGGTGACTGACAATGCCTCTCTAGAGCCTGGCGCCGGGGCCTCAAGCTGAGAACTCCGAGACGTCACCGCCGCCCCGGCCAATGCGCGGGCCGGAACCCCAGAGGGGCGGGGCCTGGCTGACGCCGGCCAGGCCTCCTGGGGCTTCTGCGAGGAGAAAGCAAGCTTCTCTTGGGGGCTGGGGGCGGGGCCTCCTAAGCCACGCCCATCCTGGGGGCCGGGCCAAAACATCCCGGAACGTGACCGTGACCCCAACCACTGGGCTAGGAACAAGTTGGCTGAGAGACAAACTTTCCTGACCTGGCTACATATACAGCCTCAAAACCCCAGGACAAAAGGGAAGATAATTTCCCTTAGTCTTTAATCATACAGTCCACACGGACACAATTAAAGTTAGTCCCTCAACATTGACTATGTACAAACACACATCCAATTGGAAAAGTGTCAGCAGACGTACAATAAAAGTGCCACACCTATATTCAGGTATACAACAGTCTTTAGACCCATATATATACAAACAGAATCACACTGAACAAATTCATAGTCAAACCACAGTTAGACACACATTTGTCAGCATAAAATCAGAAAGACAAACATATAGCAGGCAATTACCTTTAGGTACATACTTCTCACAACTCACAACAGGAATGACTAACAGATGAATCTAAGCCTGCCTAAGAACCCAAAAAGACTATGAACTAACTAACCTCTGCTAAAGCAGAGGTCGAACGCACATGGACACAGTTGGAACCATCTATGTCCAGAATGAGGAGGATTATATGGGAGACAGGTGGTTTGGAGTCTCAGTTTTGCCATTTCCTTGCTAGTTGGCTGGATTAATCCTGTCTCTGGTCTTGATCTCTTCACCTGTGAGTGGATAAGTGGATGATTGCTAAAGTTCTTCCCATCGTTAACATATTTTGTAAGATGGGGGAGAGGTGGTAGTTTCAGTAACTAAGTTAAGGGGCTTCATGGAGATTTCTGAGACATTTTAAAAGATGAACTAATAGTCCATGATTGGCAGCCACAGGAGAGCAATTGTCTTCAGATGTCATCAATCAGGAGGGGGGAGAGTGGTCAGTCCTGAGTAGTAACCACTGAGGGGTCTCTTGTGTCCTGAGATGGTGACACTGAGGCCTTGATGTTGGGCCTCAGCTCTAGACTAGCCAAGAAGAGGCCCACAGGTCTCCTGAGAACTCCTCCCCACAATGAACTTTTTTTTTTTTCCCTGTGCCCTGCTCAGCTTTCCCTAATCCTGTGATGTCAGTCTGACATCCACTCACAGGGCAAACACATTCCTAATGACAGATTTGACAACCACAGGTTCTGAACTCAGGACAGTAGAGATGAGGATCACCCTTGTGACTGAAAAGAAACATGAATTTTTAACTAAGCTTATAAACCGCAGGGCCTCTGGATTGTGTACACAAACAAGATAAGGGGAGAAGGGAGGGACAAAGGCTTGTAAAAATGGAAATAAGAACTAGGGGGTCACCCTGTAGTACTCAATTAGTGAGGAATTAGAATCCAGGGAGAGACTTGACGTATAGGGATAAAAACTCTTGGAGGACTTTGGAAGACAGGAGCCGGCTTCACTGTCAGGACTTGAACACTCCATTTTGCATAATCATTTAATAAAGCCTCACTCTAGCTAAATAGACATTGGATTGGGTTTCTCAAATGCTTTTGAAGCCAATATTCTGAGTAACTTGTCGGCAAACTCATATGAGATTTGGCAGCCCGAAGGCACCTTTCCTAGCTAGGAAATTGGCGCAGGTCAGGGGATCATACTGACTTGCCAGTTATCAAGAGGACCCAGGGCAGTGCCTGGGTGCTGACAGCAATTTTCACACCCATAGCCCTCCCCAGTGATCCCCTCCAAGATAGAGACCAAGTGGACAATAAACTCTGCCTCTTCTCCTATCTTTTCAGTCAGAGGCAGTGCGGAAGCCAGAAAGAAAAAAAAATGTTAGGGGATTATAAATACTTGATACTAACACCTTATCTTTGTAACTTGCTAGTTTTGTTACTGGGCATATGACTCCATCTCTTTGGAACCTCAGTTAAGTAGGGGAACTGGACTAGAAGATAGGCGCAAATATACTTTTTCAGCTAAACACTCTCAGGTTTCCAAGAGGATAGTTTTCAAAGAGAGAACAACTAAGTCAAGGCATACTTTATTTTTCTGAGACTTTGTTTCCCTGTATATAAAAATAGAAGAGGAGAATGCATCAGCAGTTTTAAATAAGTGGGAGCTTTCAAAACTACTTGGGAAGTTTTTCAAAGCATAAATGTCCTTGGCTCCCCCTTAGTTCTACTCTTTTAATGTCAGAGATTTTATTAAGTGTGCCTGTACAGATAACTAAAATTCAAAGAGGGAGCTCTGGTGGCCTACGGGTTAACAACTTGCACTGCCAACACAAAGGCAGGTGATTCGAATCTACCAGTTGCTCCACAGGAGAAAGACGAGAAATCTCCCATGTGATTTACAGTTTCTAAAAACCACTGGAGGGTGAGCTATGAGTCAGTTCTGACACGAAGGCACAATGATAAATATACAAAGAAAGACATCTAGGCTTGTCACCTAAGGCTCACATAAGTGCTTGACTACCCAATCATACAAGCACTTATTCACAAGCCAGAGTCATCACCCGTCCATACTGATCATTCTCCATACTGTGGGCCTTCCGGCCCATCCTGATCCTTCATGACCTTTCTCCACCCTGTCCTCCTATAGCTTTCATGTCTAGGTTCACTTGCCTTCTGATTTATGGTTAAGTTCAGCTAATGAGAATCAAAGATAAGAGATCTGAGAGTGAGCGGAAAGTACCAGGAGATATTCTTCTACCACCAGCCTGCTGGGCCAACCTGGAGCAACAGCACCTATTTTCCTCCAGGACTAAAGCTCAAGACTCCCTCCTACTCTGTTAGGCAGTGGGGTGACTACAACTTCCCATTGTTGCTACTCCTGAGGTGCCTCATCATCCCTAGCTAATATCCTTATCTCTGCCCACACCTTTGCAAACTATTCAACAGGTTCTCATCAGCTGAATTCTTCCATCTCTGGGCCAGCACCCAGACTGACATGGGCACCAACAAAGCAAAGCAAAGTTACTGCTTAATATTGGTATTTTGGATGATGTCTTTTCAGAACAGGGAACAGGATATAGCTCCTGAAATTAAGTATCTAGCCCTCTCTATACCCAAAATAACCTATTAGCATGACCTTTTCATACAGGTTTACAATTTTCTCTTGGCTTGCTTGTCTCCCCTCCCAGAAGGTGAGCTCATTCATTCATTCATTCATCCAGCAAATGTTTATTGTACATTTACAATGTAACAATGCTTGGGATCCAAAGACTAGGGGCTCTTTCCTACTGGAGCACCTAGTTCCATTTAGACAGGTAAACAACTATTATTCAGCATTCATGTGGCAATTGAAGTAATTGTGGTATGAAGGTGTGTCTCAGGTGACATCAGAAACAGGGACTCATTAATTGGCCTGCAGGAGAAGAGGAAGCTGTGGTTAAATCTAAAAGGATGAGTTGGTCTTCCCTGGGCTGCTACAAGTGGAAATGACATCCTAAGTACAGGGAGTTATATATGCACATAGAAATATAATGGGATCCCTGGTGGCATAGTGAATTAAGCATTGGGAATTTGATCAAAAGGTCAGCAATTCAAATCCACCAGTCACTCTCTAGGAGACAGATGAGGCAGCCAGTCGGCTTTCTTATCAATTTACACCCTTGGAAATCTGAGGGAGCAGTTCTACTCTGAGTTGGAGTCAACTAGATGACAGTGGGTTTGGGTTTTTGTTTCTTCGTTTTTAATGGAAACATAGAGAACACAGTTCTGATAAATTCCCTATATCTCTGAAGTGAACTGGAAAGTTGTTATTGTTATGTGCCATCGAGTCACTTACAACTCATAACAACCCTATGAACAATATCCCTGAAACCTGTTCTATCCTGTGCCAACTTTACTGCCTCTGACACTCTTACCCCTCATTAATCCAGTCACTGTATCAATCCATCTCATTGACAGTCTTCCTCTCTTTCTCTGTCCCTCTGCACTTCCAAGCATGATGTCACTCCCCAAGGACTGGTCGGTCCCTCCTTGCAGCATGTCCAAAGTATGTCAGACGAAGCCTCAGAAACCTCCAAGGAGCAGTCTGTTTTCACCCTCTCCAGGACAAATCTGTTTGTTCTTTTTAACAGTGCATGGTATATTCAAAACTCTTCTCTAGCACCACAACTCAAAGGAATCAATTCTCTTTCTAGCATCCCTAATCATTGTCCAGCTCTTTGATGCATAGCAAGCAATTGCAAAGAAAATGGCCTGGATCAGATGCACCTTAGTCTCCAGACTGATATCATTGCTCTTCAGTACTCTAGAGAGGTCTCTGACAGCAGTCTTTCCCAATACAATTATTCTTTTAATTTCCTGGCTGCTGGTACCAAGAGTGTTGATTATGAAGCCAAAAAGTGCAAGAGGTAAACTGCAAAAGTAAGCATAGCCAGATTAGGAAGGGGTTTGGATGTGTTGAGGAACTGACAATAAGGAGAAGATGACAAGTCCATTTTCTCATTCCTGAGTAGTTCTGGCTGACTGCAGCTCACACACATCAGAGAATCTTGGCAATACATAGAAATGGTCGACATCCATCATTCCAGGCTTACTTTGCTTCCTCTTTTTCTTCACCCAGTAGCCTTCTCTACCTCTGACTCTCCAATGGCTTTGACACAGAAAATTATGTCCTCCTTTAATTTGTCCCTCTTGGAATTGTAATGTGGCTCTGTTTATTCTTTGCCTGCTACTAGACCTCAGCTGAATTTTCTGTGTCTGTTCCAAACCCTAGAAGACATCTAACCAGCTCTCAGAATTCACCATTCCCTCCTG